ACAACAAACTCAAACTATATTCCAGTATGTATCAAATACATCATAACATACAGTATAAAGCAGGAAAATGTACCATGTACCCACAATGACAATGAATACCTGTACAAATTCATTTCAACAAACATATAAAGAAAAGGACATAAAACACTTAAGCTGAAAATAAAGCACAAAAAAAAACCCAAGCAAATCTTTCAAAGTTCATATTCAGTATCAGGTGGAATTAAAATCCTAACTAATTTTAAGGTAAGATAAAAACCAGTGGTGGCGGCAGCAGCTGAATTCTGAGACCCAGGGGCCAATTTTCAGCACCAGATCACGGACAGCTCCATGGTTCTTCAGGCTGTTCTGTCTAAAGATAAATCCAACTGTCAACAGTCAGATGTTTATGGCAAAATATTAGACCTATACCTTTTGTAACCCGGCAAGTCAAATGCAGATCACTATCCATTTAAGGAGGCCACTAGGGCTTGTTAAGCATTTTATGTTTTGTACTTTGCTTCACAATGCAAAACAAAGTTGTCAAGCACCCTGGTGGGCCACGTTACTCTATATTCTGTGTTCAACTTTGTGAGTAAAAGTAAATTATGCTCTCAATACAGATGGCTGGTTTCAAGAATGTGACCAAACAATTCATTGATTTAATTTTCTGAGTTAATATTGGGACTGCCCACTTTATATTGATTCTACAGATTGGATAGGACACAGTTATCACCAGAAGCATGAAAAGTCATGCAGTTTGTTCATATTATTTTGAAGTCGATCTCTTGTTTTGTAAATTAAAAAAAGAAATGTGTTATATACAGAGGGGCATGGGGGCGAGGATAACCAAGAAGAGAACTACTCTATGAAGAAAGTTTTGTAGCATTACAGATTTAAGAGGTAGCTTGAATGATAAAATCCTTTGTCATTTGAAAAAATAACAGCAACTACACCTCAAAATAAAATTTCCTCATATAGAAACCAGCATGTCAGTGCGATGGGTTTCAGTCAAGTTTCTCCACTTTATGCTAGTTATCTACTGTATGCAGAAGAGGATTTAAACTTTTTACACTGAGAAATATTCTACAATGTGAATCCTCACCTGCCATCTGGTACAGCCCTGACCCAGGCTTGACAGTGAAAAATGATGATGATAATAATCAGCCCTTTGCTGTTTTAGGTCAGGCTGTGGAAGTTCACTGTTTTTCACAAGTAGTGTGAAAAAGAAATTTAAATGTTATTTTATTTATGTATCACCTAATGGAACCTAGGGAAGCACACAATATAATAACACATTATTTCTGTGAAATAATTAAAACCATTGACTATAAAACAATTGTGATTTTAGCAGTAAGGTGCCAGCACCAGATTACATCCCCAATGCCTGTGTGAGCATGAGGGCACACATTTCTCTGCTGAATGATTTTCACAGGGAAATGGAGGAAAAGAAGCTTTATTAATAGGAGTTGGGAGGTGACAATTAAGCAAACACATGACAGTTGGAAGACACTTCTGTAATTCCTAATGCCTCAACACAGTATCTCTCAAAATACAGTTGAAGGCTTCATCTGTGACAGGCTTTGGGAAGGTCATAAGAAAGAATTATTCAGTAGCAACTGCTTCAGGCATTTCCCAGGGTAAAAGGGCACTGCAACAGATTTTTAGACCTTTAAAAAAGTTTCTAGAAAGGTGAGGAGATGAAAGAATGAGAATAAGAACGAAATTGCAGGATACCACTTAAAAACTCATTCTTTAAGTAGTTCAACATAAAAGAAGGGATTCTAATGACTGGACATCTGCTGGCAAGGAATTCTGAAAGTACCAAGAGAAAGAAGAATGAAGTTGAGTGAGTGAGTGAGTGAGTGAGTGAGTGTGTGTGTGTGTGTGTGTGTGTGAGAGTGAGGAGAGGGAAAGACACAGAGAGAAAGCAAGAGAGAGAGAGAGAGAGAGAGAGAGAGAGAAAAGAGTATTTCTAATATTTGTCTGGGGAGGGGGGTTCTGTTTCCAAGCATCAACTTGGAATTATTGACGTTGCCAATGAACCTACCAATACTAACTCCAATGTTACCCACTTTACAGTGGAAACACTGGCCATTACGAAAATGTAATTCCAACTTTCTGAATGAATGTGAGCCAAATGTATCAACAGTGAATTTCCACAACCATTTAATTTCCATTTGCTTCATTTTCAGACATCTTTGTGCCAAAATCTTTCAAGTCTTCAGTAACACCCTGGAATTATTTTCCAATATAATAAAATATCAGATAGTAAACGGGGGGGAAACCAACATTGTCCTGACACACAAAACTTGAGGATGAAAGTCCTTTTATAGATGTAAAATATAGAACTGTAGCAAGACTGACAGACAATGAAATAGGAAACCAACAGTAGGAAAACAGGTAAATCCACAAAGCTTATCACTTTTCTAAACTCATTTGAGTTTGGAAAGAATACCTGCTTTTTGAATTCTCTGGCCAGCTTGGGCTGCCAGCAAGTTTAATATCCTGTTGACAGGGAAGATATTTTGCTGTCCAAATGTAATGATTTATGAGAACACTTTAAATCAAATCAATCAAGTGTTTCAAATGTAAAATAAATCATTCAACTTCCACCAAAATGATTGGCTTGAGGGAAGAAAGATCAAACACGTGTTTCAGTCAAGACTATTCAGACACAGTTTCACAGGAAAAAAATGTATGGCAAAAGTACATAAAATGAGTTGTACAGTATTTACTAAGAATAGATTTAGTATTATTTGTTACATCCTTAATATATTATTAAGGAGGTCATGAATACAGTACCTGCAAATTTTCTCATCCTTCACAAAAAAGGATGTCTCAGTACAAAACGCCTCATTGAAAATGGTCACCTTGCTATGAGATTTTTCACTTCAGTATTAAAGCAACAAGACCAATAGAAGACCAATATTAATAGCATTAGCAGTACCATGTTTTTTCCTGCACAAAAAATCCCTCACATTTTCACACAAAACATTGTTTTTTGGTACAAGATACTTTCTTTGAGCAAAATCCAAGGATTGTTCTTTGTGGAAAACACGTCTTATCCACACACACAAATCCCTTACGTCCTATATACTGTATATTTTGCAACTATATACTGAAACGTGAACAATGTACACAAATTCTCATACTTTAACATGGCTGGGGGAGTTTTTCATTTCCGTGTGTGAGAATGAAGCAAACAGTGAATTCCATCCCTTCTATCTGTTGTGCTCAGAGTCCCAAATACTCAATGTACAAGAGTACAGCAGTTCTCCAGATGCAGCAGGAGTTTGCTAACTGTCACATGCTGAGGGCACAGGGACACCAGGATGGGTTGAGAAATGCCTCAGAGTGCAAGTGTTATTCCAAGTACAAATGTCTTGATCCCAAAAAATGATGACTACAAACAAAACAAAACAAGCAACAACACAGACACCTCAAAGGGCGAACTGATTTTTATTATGACACAAACTTTCATGGACTACAGCCCACTCCATGTGACTATCCCAATCCACCCTTGGGAAAAGGAGAAAATAAGTCTCTGTGTGGCACATATTAATATGATCATGCATTTTTAAAGCCCTCTTTGTTTGCTCAACAAAGGTGGCTTACCACAGGCAAAACAAAACATTAAAATTCAGTAGGTAACGCTGGCAGAATAAAACAAACCACACATTAAAATTCAGTAGGGACCATAGGCAAAATAAAATATTAAAATTTAGTAGGTCCAGGAAAGAATGATGGTACGAAGAATTATGCAATGATCATGGAACTAGACTGTATTCCTGCTATAACTCTGCTGCAAAATACAATTTTCTGACAGCCACAAATCCAAAGGTCAACAGTTTATTTTTCAAAGTGGTCCTCAGTACACTTTAATCTAGTGTTGATCCAGCCTAAGCTCTGGAAAAATGGAGTATCAATCTAGAATATTCTGCATATTTTTTTATGCAGATTCCCTACATGGATGAAATTCAGTGACTAAAGTTAAGTGTGATGAAATGTCATGGAATGAATTAGCTACAAAAGCTCTGCTACTGATTGGTTGTTTATTGACAACCCTCCTTTCTTTATACCAAATCTATCCAAAGTGGTATAGTAGATGGAATGATGGCCTAGGATTCTGGAGACCAGGATTTGAAACCCTGCCCAGCCATGGAAACTCACTGGGGGAGTGGAACTGATAAAACAATTCCTTAAAT